GGCGGCTGCAATGTCAAACATGGGGTTGTTTGAAGCAGAAATGAGTGGTGATGCTTTTCAGCTTCTCGGGATGAGTGAGATGGGAATGCTTCCTGCTATCTTTGCTTCAAGGTAACTTTTTATCCTGCCTGGTTTTGTTTTCATAGTTATTCAATTACATAAACCCTTTGATTGTTTCCTTAATGAGTTGTGGAAATGATAATCTAAATGGGAGGAATTTCAAGGAAAACAAAAATCAGATATTATTGACAAAACCGAATTCTCATTTTAAGGTTGAACAAAACCGAATTCTGATATTGGTCTAATTGTCTTAGCTATGCAGTTCAGAAGATTATATGAAATTTGAGTACTTAAAAGGCTTGAAAGCTCTATAAGGGCCTTTTTTCAAGCCGTTCATTTCACTTTGTTTTATTAAAAAGAAAGTTACCAAAAAAAAACCATCAAACTTGTTATGTATGGGAAAGCTCCAAATATGATACCAACACTTGCAGTTTGGCGTATTTAAATCAATTTCATAGGTCGAAGCACGGGACGCCCACCATTAGCATTTTGCTTTCCGCTACCGGAGTCATCTTCCTATCTTGGATGAGTTTTCAAGAGATATTGGAATTTCTGAACTTCTTATACTCCATTGGAATGCTACTCGAGTTTGCAGCTTTTATAAAACTGAGAATCAAGAAGCCAGACCTTCACAGACCTTACAAAGTGCCCTTCCAAACATTTGGGGCAATCATGCTTTGTGTGCCTCCTGCATTGTTGCTTGTTCTTGTCATGTGTTTGGCTTCTTTGAGGACATTCTTTGCGAGTGGTGCAGTAATTATTGTGGGGCTTTTATTGTACCGCATTTTAGTTCTTGTAAAGGATAGGAACTTGATGCAATTTTGTTCCGAACAACCTGCTGTGGAAAGCCACTCAGTTGTGTCACAACAACTCCAAGAAGTTGCAGACGAGGCTGCGATCGGCCTTCTCTCGGACTTGTCTGCTAAGACGGAAGAAGAATCCTCAGAAATCCGCTTTGAAGGCGTCCTGAAAGTCGATTAAAGTGGTCCGTTTTAACTATTGAATTATAACTATATTGATGGCTAACTCTCCACATAATCAGGTTCACCGCTATGGAGAACCACATTACTAATTCTTTGGCTTGTTCACCATATTTCTTTTTACATATGGAGTTTGCAAAGACTGGAGTAGATAACCCAGAACTCTGCATACAAAAACTATGTTTATTATGTTGGCAGACGCAGAGCACAAAGTTTCAAACGTGAACCTTTGCGTGGTGTCATTTAAAAAACTAACTTTTCCAAAAATACTTTCTTCTTAATGAGCAAACCAGACTGGAAAAGGAAAAAAAATAGCATAAAAAGGCCTATAGAGCGGGATGGAAAGGCCTTTTGACATGACTTGGTTCTACTTTGCTTGCTACCACAATTCTTTGTATTACACGTCTTAAGGGCAAAAAAAATTAATCCAAAAAGAAAAGGCAAGCGTTTTATGGCAGGGCTGTATTTTGCCCAATCGATAGGTTATTTATGGGCCTGTTTAGTTCACTGATTCGAGTTTTTAATTT